TTCAATGCTGTTGCGCAGGGCCTCGGAGGAATTGCTCATCACCGCCTCCATCCCAGCAATTTGTGCCCGACGTGTCGCCGCCCTGACGTCAGCCTTAGCCTTACTGAATAAAGTCAAGGCACTTCCGACGGTCATTTTCCAGCCAAAATCCTGTTGGTGAGCGACTCTGTGATGCAGGTGGAAGAAACAAACTGTGCGCTCAAGGTCCTTGGATTGATGAGGCCCAATCCACCCAGGCGGCAAGGAAGCTCAAATACGCTACGTAAAACATTGCCTGGGAACGCACGGAAGGCTACAATGTAGCTCTGGGATAAAATTGTTGCGTATGGCATTCTCAAGCGACAAAGGAAAGTCCATTTCCCCCGTAATCCCGAGGTAAAGGCAGAATATGCCGCCTGAGGCTGTGTCCACGCAATCACCGCCAATCGCTCTACCTCACACACCCAGTTTTCTACCCTTGACTTGCCATATTCTTCTTTTAAGTTAACCCTATAACGCCTATAGGGCGGATATATCCGCCAGACTGTACAGTGCATGCTGAGGTGACTTCAAACTTTCGTCATTCAGTCAATCCTTGTTCGAATTCAACAAACGAAAGGTCTATTCGTATCAGAAAAGCCTCAGCTGTCGGCTCCAAAAAACCCGAAGACGATCCGAGGTCATGGCGCAGAGTTACGACACTCGAACGAAATTCGCGTGGGCGAGTCGGCTCGCGCGGCGCAAAATTTGAAACGCCAGCAAGGGATTTTCCCTGACTCACTGGCGACGCGTGCACGACTGGCATACGTCATTTTCAAGCTGCATTTTGAAGCTCTCTCCTGCAAAAAATTGACCGTTCTGCGATCGATATTGTTGAAATGGCTGAGAATTTAGGACCGCGCTCGCAGGTCTGGCATTGGAGCGCTCAGATCGCGCTGCGGCGTTACTCCTACGATTCTATCAATTGAGAACTGGGTATGGCTGTGTTCGTCTTGGAGAGAGCTTTCCATAGAGCCCGAGATTGTTGGAATACTCCAAAGGATATCGAAATTACAGTCAGATGAAAATGTGAGTTTGTGAATTTCATGCGTCTCCTGAAATAATTTAGGCTCTAAGGGGTCGTCCGCAATTATCGAATGTTTTTTCCAATCCGTAGTAGCTTCAAATTTTTCCTCACCCACCCACCCACCCCCTCAGTCCGTAATAAAAATAATATTGATGGACACACAACCCAACACATATGGAACAAACTCAATCAGTGCTGGTCCATGAGTCATAGTGCATTACTCGAAGTATATCTAACCGTGCTGTTCGGATTGTCTTTGGCTATCGGGTGTTAGCGGCCGTCGTGAGTTCCCTTCAGGAACGGATACGATAATTTACTTAAAACTTTCAATAATTGCGGACGACCCCTAAAGGGTTAAACGCACTTGAGCCAATTGCGGTACCTAAATAACGTGCTCCATCTGAGGTGATCTTAATGCCGGTGTTCTGGAAAAGATTCCTTGCCTCAAGCAAGCACTCTTCTTTGATAATCAACACAGATTTCTTGGCATTGACGAAATAGCCAAAAGCACGACCTCGCTCGGTGAGGACGTCCCACCACCGTTGCAAACGACGTAGACGGCCAGCCGCGGAAGAGGCATCAGCAAACCACGATTGAACAGTGTCAGCGCAAGCCGCTTGCCGAATAAGAGTCATTATGCCCAGAGCGTACATTTGCATCGCGAGGGGATCACCTTGTGTGGTGCCCTCCTAGATCCTGTGATAGAATACATTCACCATCAATGTACACATGGGCCGGTTCACGTATTGATCAGGACTGTGGCCAAGGGTAGGTATTGATCAGGACTGTGGCCAAGGGTAGGTATTTATCAGGACTGTGGCCAAGGGTGGGCACAAATGGCGAACATTGAGTGAGTAAACTTGACGATTCAATCTGGTGAATGTATTAGATGCATCGGCCAACAAAAGCTGTAAATGCAGCCAGTGAGTCTGGGTTCACCTAGGCCGTGGCCAGCCTTCGAGCACAAGACGCCAAATCGTCACACAGTGCATCTGAAGCAGTCGAGAAATTGGAGCACATATGTCTCCAATTCTCTGCATCAACCCCGCTCGGACCAGCAGCACCTTGTGTATGAGTGGCTGCTTTTCGGATCGCCTCCCGCCTTAAGCCACTAAAGTATACGGAATGCGGAGGCGGCGGAGGCGCGCCAGATATGAGAGCATCCTCATCGATCGGCTCTGGTGACGAGTGTTTGTCCTTTAGGATATCTCGGACTGTACATCCATCACTGTGTCGTCAAGGGCATGGAAGCCGCCACCCTCATCGTCTGATAATACTTTGAGAGCAGCTGTGAGCTTCCCGGCCGTGACCTTGTTTGCAAAGCTCCTGGCGGGGTCAACACTACCTCGGTTTTTAGGATCAGACTCAAGGCGCTTACAATCCTGGATGGTGCCTGCTTCTCTCATCAAGTCAGCAAGATCTCCACTTGCCCATTGCCCAAGTCGGCGCTCCCGAAGCTTTGCAAACCCGGAGGAGTCAGTTTTCGGTTTCTGTAACAGTAGGGCTTGAAACACTGCAGCAATCTTGAAGGCACTCTGCCGGTAGGATCCACAATTACCAAAACAGGAGTAATATGAGGAAAGAGTTGTACTGAATCGCCACCCGATATTCCCCAGTGGAACGTGGAAAGTAATGGGACGGTATTGAGTGCATTGTTCATAGGCTGCATCAATCAGTGCACAGGTATCGGTTGCGGTGAGGCTCCCGAGATGAAAAGAGGGAGGGACACTATCTATTGGTTCAGCATCTGGCATGCTGCTCTGTACAACGGAGCCCACCGACTCAGCCGCACTTGCCACGCCATTGCTATCTTTGCGTGGTGGTACTTGGCCACCCAAAGCCGGAATCTCTATAGGCAGGTAAGAATCACGACTTGGCGAATGTGCTGCTAGCTGCCCATCCAGTGCCTCGGTCACATATGGTGCGTCAATGCCATGACGTGTTTCATGATGTGTTTCTGTTTGATGAGCGGTAAGGTGAAGAAGAGCTGAAGCCGGAGTCACCAGGTAGGGTATTAGTACCATGTCCAGGCTGTCAATACAGCATATGAGAAAGCAGTACACTTTCAACCAAACCTCTTTGCCATCCCGCTTGGCAAACTGGATTCCTCATTTTGTTACTACCATCAGCTCCTTGTTGAAGAGCTTTGGAGACTCAGCTGCAGGAGAAAGGCTATGCATCAAAGCCGCCATGCTAGCACCACACCTGATCCTTCAACAGCCGTTCAAGGAGGTGTCTAAGCAGGCTCACGTGGAGTGCCTTCAGCGCCGTCTGCCGCTATGGCGTGAGGGAAATATTAGCGAGCTGATGCGTGAAGCACTCACCATCCACGGACAACTACACGAAGCAGCCAGGAAGTCTCAAAAGACTCCTGGAACGTCAACTGATCAAGTCCGCTCATTCTCATCCCTCATCTACGCAGGAAAGACAGGCGCTGCCCTCCGCATGCTACCCAATCTAGGCAGCTGTGGAGTCCTGTCCCTGGACGAGCGAGTGGAGGACAGTAAAGTGCGAGACGTACTACTTCACAAACACCCCAATGCCAAGCCCGCACATGAAGCCGCTGATAGTGAAGGAACCCCTGCCTCCACACCTCATCCGGTTTTGTTCTCCGCTCTGAACAGAGACGCCCAGCGCCAAGCGGCACTGTACACGCAAGGATCCGCCGGCCCGTCAGGCCTAGATGCTGTCGCCTGGCGCCGGAGGTACACCTCCTTCAATGCCGCATCCGATGATTTATGCTACGCCTTAGCCAGCTATGCCCGACGCATCTTGGCCAGCTACGACCGACGAATCTTGGCCAGCTACGCCCGACGCATCTTGGCCAGCTACGCCCGACGCATCTTGGCCAGCTACGCCCGACGCACCTTGGCCAGCTACGCCCGACGCATCTTGGCCAGCTACGCCCGACGCATCTTGGCCAGCTACGCCCGACGCATCTTGGCCAGCTACGCCCGACGCATCGTGTACAGCTACGTTGACCCAGCGACCCTACATGTTGTGCAGAGGCCTACACTGCTAGCCGCGTCATTCCACTTCATAAGCATCCCGGCGTCCGCTCAATTGGAATTGGAAAGGTGGCTCGCCGCATCATCCGCAAAGCTGTAATGCGCGTTGTCGGCCCGGCCGTGGAAGCGGTGACTGGGTATCTACAACTCTGTGGACTCAGTGTGCAGGTCAGGAATGCGGCATAGAAGCAGCCATGCACTCCATGCGGTCTGTCTACAACGACCCAGAAACTGAAGGAGTCCTCTTTGCTGACGCATAAAATGCGTTTAACCGCCTGAACAGGAATGTCTGCCTTCAAAACATCCGTCACACTTGCTCTGAGTTTGCCATCATCGCTATCAACATCTATCCGTCATCATCACGCCTGTTCGTGGGTGGTGAATTAATCCCCTCATGCGAATGTACCACCCAAGGGGACCTTCTGGCCATGGCGATGTACGCTGTTGGCACAGTCCCATTGATTCAGAAGGTCACAATCCCAGGTGCAATCCAGGCGTGGTTTGCCGATTATTCGACAGCCGGTGGAAACGGCTCGCCAACCCGAGAGCGTGGTGGGAAGTCCTCGCACCCCATGACCCTTCGTATGAGTACTTCCCGAACGCTAGGAAAACCGTTCTCCTAGTGAAGCCGGATCACGCTACGCAGACCCTGGAGCTCTTTGGCGACACCTACATTATAGTGAAGACGGGTGGCGACCGACACCTTGGTGCAGCATTAGGCACTCCTGCCTTCTGCCAGGCATAAAACAGATTACAAAGTTGCCCAGTGGTGCCAGGAAGTCCAGACCCTAACCACCTTTGCCATGACGTAGCCACAAGCAGCGTATGCGGCCTTCATGCATGGACTGCGCCACAAAGGGTGCCTTCCATGATGCGCTTGCCCTGCATTACGGCTGTATATGTGCAAGGCTGCCGTCCACGTGCGCAGTCGGCAAGAGATTGGACGTATGGCATGCCCTGAGCTGCAAGAGATTGAACGTATGGCATGCCATGACCTGCACTACGAGAGGATACCAGCCATGCGGCAAAACGAGCTGCGCAACCCCACTGCCTCTTTTCTGCGCACAGTCACGAAGGATGTGGCCGTGGAGCCAGGGCTGCAACCCCTAACCGGCGAACAGCTTCGCCACCGCACAGCCATCCGCGACGATGGCGCACGCCTTCATGTTACTGCCAGTGGAGTGTGGGGCAGCCAGCATAAGCGCACCTTTTTTCGATTTACGGGTTTTCAATCCCCATTTTGCCTTAAACTCGGCTTAGTCCCTGCCCTCCACATACGCGCAACATGAAGGCAAGAAGCGTCGCTGTTATGAAGAACGCGTCTGAGAAGTCGAGAGAGCATCATTAATTAATTTTGTGCCCCTGGTTTTCAGCGCCACAGGTGGCACCGGAAAGGCTGCCTTCACCTTCCTGAAGCGGCTGGTCTGCACGATGCCTGAGAAAAAGGAATGAGCCCTACAGCGTTGTATTGGCTTATGTCAGATCAGTGTTTGCATTCAGCTTGGTTAGGTCCGCCGTTGCAAGCCTGCGCGGCCACCGTCAGCATAACAGCCAGTTTAGCGATGCTGCAGCGTCCTCAGCCTCGTTGGCTGCTGCTGGGTGTCCGCTGAGTGTCAACCGCCGCTATAACTTTCTTCCCAGTTGCTTAGTCTATCCTGTTTGCTTGAGAACGGTTTTATTCACAACACTATGAAGTCATAATATACCGGTATTTTACAAATCCGACTCCCTTTTCACAACACCATGAAGTCGTAATATACCGGTATTTTACGACTCCGACTCCCTTTTCACAACACCATGAAGTCGTAATATACCGGTATTTTACGACTCCGACTCCCTTTTCACAACACCATGAAGTCATATTATACCGGTATTTTACGACTCCGACTCCCCTTTCACGACACCATGAAGGAAGAGTCAAAGCAAAAAGACAACCCAATTTCGGAAATAAGCAATAAGCTGCAAACCTGTTTGCTTGCACGGTTTTCTTCTTCTTCTTATGACTCTTTTACTATCCGGCGTGTATTTACCGCCACATTGTCAGGTGCGTGTTTACCGCCACATTGCCAGGTGTGTATTTACCGCCACATTGCCAGGTGTGTATTTACCACCAATATCAAGAGTGAGTACAGCGAGAAAAGTAAAAAAAACTTCTAAGATGTGTTGCTCTGGACACTTTGCATACAATTACAGACTCACTGAAATGTTTGGTACTTTGTGCACTCATCGTCTCAACACAGATCCTAATGAGAAAAAACTACTTTAAAACACACACCCACTAACTACGGGAGTATGCACCCAGTGTGCTGACATGTGCTTAGAGGGGAACTCCGGTCCAAAATCACCCCCATTTTTTATTGCGGAATCCATTAGAGTATGTCCTAAGTGGAAGAATGGCGAAAACCGGAAGCTTCTACGACAAGGATAACATACCTAAATTACCAATTGCAATTTTCCATATTTGGCACGAGTGGGGCCCCCGCCCACCCTGTGACGTAAAACGTTCTCAGTCTGGTCAAATAAATTCAAATGGTACCTAAATTTTGGAAAAGGTGTTCACTGTTTTTTTCTTCTTCAAATCAAATTGTCATGAATGTAGCTGTAGTCTAGTATTCATTCGACCATCATGTTGGAGGAAGAGGAGATCACGGGAGGTGTGGAGGTGGACGCCATCCCTGACTGCGCCACTTCGGGTTCTCTGATGCATTTTAGGTTCGAGCCGTCTGCGAGACCAAGTAATAAATATTTCTGAGACGACAGATGAACGTGATCGTGAGGAGAGTGAGGAGAGAGCTTTGGATGCATGTGCTCGTGTGGGAAGCATTGCTTGGTGCCGCTGCGGACAATGCAGCCCGATGCGGAGCGAGGTCGAGTCGGTTTGCTGCTGGGAGGTCCCTGCAGCGTTCAGCAAACGCGGCGAGCAGGAAGGGCTGCAGTGCGTCACGCAGCACACCGAGTTTGCTGTTGTTTGCCTGCGGAAATCAGTGCTCGAGGTGGCATTGCTTTCCTTCGAAGAATTTCGGGCAAGGTGTGGACCGTGGTCAAACAGGTGAGGATTCACTGAATCGGTTTCATTATTTCCTTTCTTTCCATGTTTCATGTACCGGTACAAAGTAGATGGGAAGTGTTTTGCAATGATTTTGTGTACAGTATTCAAATTACGAAGTAGTGGTTGCGACTTCGGCGATGATTTGTAAGAAATGGTTTGCTCCCCACACCGGAGCTCGCGCTATTCCGCCGACTTTACTTGACACTTGACTGACTCACGACTGCCATCCAGAGCACACGAGAAGTCCATCGAACCTTGCGACTAGTTGGTTTGGAGATGACAGCGTTGCGAATGACCGAGGGTCCTCGACGTCTGTCTCACCATCCAGGAGCGACACTGACTCACGCTGCTATCTGGTGTTTACGAGGTGTTTGTCGCGCTTGAAACGGAGCGTCTCTGTAAGTTTGTATCCCTGGTGATGTTTGTGCCTGGAGAGCACTATATAAGTGGTGCTCTTCAGGCACAATCTTCCTCAGCCTACTCAAGCTCAACTGATGAGGGGTGAATTCCCCGAAACACTGTGTATTGAGCAGGGAGTGGTGCTTTCTTGCAGGTTTGCCGAGTCGAAGGTTCGATGGACTTCTCGTGTGCTCTGGATGGCAGTCGTGAGTCAGTCAAGTGTCAAGTAAAGTCGGCGGAATAGCGCGAGCTCCGGTGTGGGGAGCAAACCATTTCTTACAAATCATCGCCGAAGTCGCAACCACTACTTCGTACTGTTGCGCCCAGCGCGGGCTTGCGACTAGTTGGTTTGGAGGTGACAGCGTTGCGAATGACCGAGGGTCCTCGACGTCTGTCTCACCATCCAGGAGCGACACTGACTCACGCTGCTATCTGGTGTTCACGAGGTGTTTGTCGCGCTTGAAACGGAGCGTCTCTGTAAGTTTGTATCCCTGGTGATGTTTGTGCCTGGAGAGCACTATATAAGTGGTGCTCTTCAGGCACAATCTTCCTCAGCCTACTAGCTCAACTGATGAGGGGTGAATTCCCCGAAACACTGTGTATTGAGCAGGGAGTGGTGCTTTCTTGCAGGTTTGCCGAGTCGAAGGTTCGATGGACTTCTCGTGTGCTCTGGATGGCAGTCGTGAGTCAGTCAAGTGTCAAGTAAAGTCGGCGGAATAGCGCGAGCTCCGGTGTGGGGAGCAAACCATTTCTTACAAATCATCGCCGAAGTCGCAACCACTACTTCGTACTGTTGCGCCCAGCGCGGGCTTGCGACTAGTTGGTTTGGAGGTGACAGCGTTGCGAATGACCGAGGGTCCTCGACGTCTGTCTCACCATCCAGGAGCGACACTGACTCACGCTGCTATCTGGTGTTCACGAGGTGTTTGTCGCGCTTGAAACGGAGCGTCTCTGTAAGTTTGTATCCCTGGTGATGTTTGTGCCTGGAGAGCACTATATAAGTGGTGCTCTTCAGGCACAATCTTCCTCAGCCTACTCAAGCTCAACTGATGAGGGGTGAATTCCCCGAAACACTGTGTATTGAGCAGGGAGTGGTGCTTTCTTGCAGGTTTGCCGAGTCGAAGGTTCGATGGACTTCTCGTGTGCTCTGGATGGCAGTCGTGAGTCAGTCAAGTGTCAAGTAAAGTCGGCGGAATAGCGCGAGCTCCTGTGTGGGGAGCAAACCATTTCTTACAAATCATCGCCGAAGTCGCAACCACTACTTCGTACTGTTGCGCGCAGCGCGGGCTTGCGACTAGTTGGTTTGGAGGTGACAGCGTTGCGAATGACCGAGGGTCCTCGACGTCTGTCTCACCATCCAGGAGCGACACTGACTCACGCTGCTATCTGGTGTTCACGAGGTGTTTGTCGCGCTTGAAACGGAGCGTCTCTGTAAGTTTGTATCCCTGGTGATGTTTGTGCCTGGAGAGCACTATATAAGTGGTGCTCTTCAGGCACAATCTTCCTCAGCCTACTCAAGCTCAACTGATGAGGGGTGAATTCCCCGAAACACTGTGTATTGAGCAGGGAGTGGTGCTTTCTTGCAGGTTTGCCGAGTCGAAGGTTCGATGGACTTCTCGTGTGCTCTGGATGGCAGTCGTGAGTCAGTCAAGTGTCAAGTAAAGTCGGCGGAATAGCGCGAGCTCCGGTGTGGGGAGCAAACCATTTCTTAGTATTCAAATTCACCAACTTACTTCCATCACACAATCATGAAGCTCTATTGGCAGTATTGCACACGTGCCAATATAATTATAATTATGTACAGCGATGTCTTCCATTTATAATAGCACTCTAAGTGTTTCAACTGTGTTTAGAAATGATGTAAATTTGAGAAGGCTAAAATTTTGTCAGTAGCCAGTAGAAATAATAATTCAAATTCGAAACTATTTACACTGATACTATTTACATCTATACAATCATGAAGACACTCGTGGTATGTGTATATACATCTCTCCAACTGTTTTTTTACAGGAGTTGGAGACTTGTGGCGTATAGACAATACACATGGTTTACCCATGGGTACCTCGGACGCAAGCAGCGGCGTGTGATACCATCTTGTGTGGTATCGAGGATAAGGCAGCTGTACCCAGAAGCCGATGCGGATGCGTACCGAGGCTTTGAGGAAGCAGATGGACATGACGCTTCTTGGCCTGGTTGACTTTCATATTGGTACATCTGCATGCAGAATGTAGAAAACAGTTGACAGACACAATAATAATTATTCTTGACTCAGGCATTATTTGTGTTGGCGGGTGGTCGCATGCTTCGCACTGATGCAACTGCATGAACAATCTGGTATAGTTGACAGATACAACGGCACAAGGATTGTTTTCGGGAGCATGGTATTGTGCAGGTACCGTGTCAACTATCAGAACCCTCGGGGGGGGGGGGGGGGCAGGCATGTGGGTATGTATGTTGTGCTCACCTTTGCTTCAATGAGCCATCCTAGACATGTGCTGCGACACCAGTTCTTCCTTGTCAGGGATGTCAACCGGTGCGATGTTCCGTGGTAAATCAGGTTGCTCGTACTCAGCTAGAGCAGGTGGGGTTGTGCCGTTGCGAATGTCAAGATTGGCTGTATGCACATCCTTCTGCACATCCTTCAATAGGTCCTTCAGGAAGTCGTAGGATGTGGGGTCGTGCAGCTTCTTGGCCACCCAGTGTTTTGTGCTCTTGGTGTACTCCAGCCTGTACCTGAGTACGCCCTCCTTCGTCTTGGCATGCGCTCTCCCTATGTTGGCATTGTGGGACAGGCATGCCAACTGCACCCGTGCCCTCATGCCATCATACGAAAAATGGACTCGTTTCGGTGCCCACTTCAGCATAACGGAATGGAAATTCTCCAGACTGCCCGTATGGCAGAACTTGGTGAGTTGCCTCATGTCGTTGAGCACCGTCTTGTCGAGGACGATGCTCTCCAGCACTTTATGCTGCTCAGAGCCACGTGTCAGCCATGCTCTCTCCTCGTCATCTTTCAGAGCTGGATGGGCACACTCCAGATACTTGGTAGCACCTGCACACCAATAGAAACAGAGGAAGGGTGCATGCAATAACTTAGAAATTGTCATCTGAGTGCTGTTTTGTTATTTACCTGTACATTTGCCTTGTTATCTGACTGTATCAGTGCACCTACATGTACAAATATTGCGGACACCTATTTATCACATCTTGAGTAGATCTAAACGGCTCAATGATTTTTTGAGCAGATCTGCACAATCAATAGGATAATGTTACATACTGACCCATGAATGCTCATTCACAATGTGTTTGAGCAGAGACTGCCACTTCTCAAGCAGGAGGCACTCGTCACCGTCACAAGTACCAGCACACCACCACAGATGATTGTTGAACGACGCAATCCATGACCTCAAATCACTCATCCCCACACGCGTGGTCCTCTTGGCCAGTCTCTTGCCGACAGACTTAACGAAATGCCACACGTCAAACTGATGCTCGATCTCTGGAAAGTTGATTTTCAGGAATGTTCGGATTGAAGCACTGCGGTCTGTGGCCAGGACTCCAACTTGGACTCCTCGGTCTGAGAAATCACAGAAATTTTGTAAACAGCAATTTCATCAATTGTCTAGAGATTGAGAATTTCCAGAGGAGTATGCAGGGTATAAAACAAGTATGTCACCAAAATGAAACAACCGTAGTATTGGAACAGCTGTGGCATAAACGAGGCCATGCTTGGCGATAGCAAAATATTATATTAAATCCATAGGCACTCACCGCCAAGGCGTTTCAGGATCACTTCGAGGCCACGTCTTTCCATATCTGCACTGTTGCGAGCTTGTTTTACATGGGTGAGTTCTGTGTCAATGATCATGCCAGTCACGTGATCAATAACAGTGTATAAACCTTCAGATAGATGCACACACAGCAAAAGCAAATGACCTACAGTGTATCATCAAATGGAGTAAGAAACGCATGTATACAGAGTCCCTGAAGAAGAAAGCAAACATCCGCCGAATAGTCCTTATGCACATTGTACAGATGTACGAAGTTCTGTACTATGGCCGTTGGTGTGTACATACCCGGTTGGGTGTTCATTGTGTGCTATACATGCGCGTTTGACCCATTTAGCCTCACAATTCATGGCAAACGATCACTTTTCAAGCCTTCTTCACTTTGGGATTGAACTAACGACTAGCTAGATCTCTGCCGGAAAAAGATTTCGTATGAAATGCCTTCATGGCCCATTTCATAGTGGAAATAGCAGTAAACACAATAGGGTCCTGCACATTCAACACCCAACCGGGTCTACGGGATTCTACAAGATTATACGGGATTTCGTGCATCTGTACAATGTGCATAAGGCCTATTGCAGTGTTGTAATAGAATTCCCCTACTTTACATAACAGCAACCATGGCATGCCAGATAAAATATTAATGAATGAGAGATACGTACCGTATTTGGCACAATAGCCTGGACTATCGCACCGTCCGTCTCCTGATATGTCAACTGAGCTCCCTCTCAAAATGACATGCAGACCCTGCACATGGTCCTGCCAAGCTTTGTTGACCACTGGGCAAATCACCTTCTTCTGCATATGAAAGAATGTGGAGCTGGACATGAAGCACATGTTGAGGATATGAAAGAATAGCTGGAAGGTGGAGAACAGCCCGCCCAAGAGAAGTACAGCAGAAGAAAGCAGCCAGGTTCCAGCACCGGTACGGGAATTCCCCCGCCCATAGGATGGCTGTGAATGCCACTGGAGCCGATGTCCATTCGTGCAGCAAGTAGTGATGGTCAGGAGTGATCCACGCTCTGCACGCTCCCTGCTCACAATCGGAGCATGGCATTGCCGGCATGAGGTAAACAGTTCATCAAGCTTGTCTCCCCAGACAATATACTTGCGAGACATAACTTCATCTCCTGCAACCAGAGGAGTACTTGTATAGCATATTTCATCATCTTCGGAATTGCTCTGACTTGGCTGATATAAATCGTCATCCTCTTGGCTGAGTAGAGGAGTCTCGGGCTCATCAAAAGCCGAATGCAGTAGCATATCATCCAACATGTGTAGGTTGGGCCCTGTGTCTGGGGAACAGCTCTCTGCTGGTGATGCAATGACGGACGTTGCGATAAGGGGAACAGGCACTGCGCCGGAGGAAATAGATGCTGCAACAGTGGGAACAGCTGGGGGGACGGTGGATCCTGACACTGCAACAGACTGAGAGGGAGGCGGTGCTGCAACTGCGGGAGAAGATGCCGGAATGGTTGACGTAGACGCTGCAATACTAATCGTGGAAGTACACAGTTCATCAGCAGAGGTAGGCGCCAATCGAGCGACATGGCAATGCAGTGGACAGTGGAGGCATACGTGCTCAACCTCCGGGACAGGTGCAAGAGGTGCGACCATATCTTTCCGGGTCTGTGTGGCAAGCAAAGCCCCCTGGATAAACTGAAGTGTGGCACAAAGACACAACAAATACACGCCGTCTGGCTTCAAAGTTAGCCGAGAAAATACCATACATATCTTAAAATACTACAAGGCCAAGGAATGGTAAATGATGCAAATCACTATACCTTGTATTTGTGGCAATGTAGCTGCAACCGGAAAGCAACGCGATGGAAACTTACAGATAAAGAGAACCGAAATAATACACATGATAACTTTCCATGTACATTACATCAATTCTCGACTTCACTGACTAGGATTTTGAGTAAAGGACTATGAGTAGGTCTGTAGTCGTTTAGAGCTAAATTCTGGACGTCACAAAAACCTGCCTTTCACTTACCTCATCGTGCTCACGTTTCTGGAAGTAAGTCGAAGGTGGTCTGCTTTTGCTGGCAGCAGAGGTAGAGGAGCTACTACTACTGGTACTACATGTACCGCCAAGTTTCAGGGATGGCAGAGACCCTGGCTTCAGGCGTCGCTGCCGCTTTTGCTTGTACCCACCAATGTTTCCAACAAATTCTTGCTGGAGATCTCTCTCGTAGCACGTCTCAGGGAAATGCTCGGAGCAGACACGATTGCACTTCGTTGGAGAAAAATCCTTCCTGCGTATTCTGGACAGCCAAGCTGTCGTCAGCTTCTTGTCAGGCAGTGGAAAGCCATGCCACGACAGGCTGGCACAGGCCTCTTTCTTGGTGTCACTGTCACACCCAGGGACGCAGCAGCGAGTCATGACAATAAATCGGACATGGCACAGAACAACAAGCACTTCAATAATCAAAAAATGTAATGGCCAAGGACTTTTCATTTTTGTTTCACATTTGAAAATGTTCATGCAGCTCACCAGACTGAGAACGTTTTACGTCACAGGGTGGGCGGGGGCCCACTCGTGCCAAATATGGAAAATTGCAATTGGTAATTTAGGTATGTTATCCTTGTCGTAGAAGCTTCCGGTTTTCGCCATTCTACCACTTAGGACATACTCTAATGAATTCCGCAATAAAAAATGGGGGTGATTTTGGACCGGAGTTCCCCTTTAACACCACCGAGGTAGAGCGTAGTACAGAGCAACAAGGGCAAACAAACTTACAGAGACGCTCTGTTTTCAGCGCGACAAACACCTCGTTAACACCAGATAGCAGCGTGAGTCAGTGTCGCTCCTGGACGGTGAGAACAGGCGTCGAGAACCCTCGGTCATTCACAGCGCCAGGCTACTCGATGCCAAAGGGCTTATCCTCAACACCGGCAAGACGCAAGTGCTTGCAATCAAAGCTGGACGGCAGGCACACCTCGACCTCCACATTACTTGCACTGGCACGCCTCTTGCCCAGACCAGTACGGCTCGCTACCTCGGAGTCACTCTGGACGAAAATCTTCGCTGGTCACCGCAAGTCACCTCTATCGTCGGACGCACGGCTATGAAGCTGCGGATCCTCCGCCAGATCCGGTACTGCCTAACAGTGCGGCAGGCGATGCTGTATTACTCTGCCCTTGTCATACCGGACATTCTGTATGCGTCGAATGCGTTTTTCCCAGCACTGTCCGCTGATCAGGGGAACACCTGCCATAGATCATTCAAGAGACTTTTAAAGGTTTATTTTTATGGTTAGCCAGCATCTAGGCTTGGACTTAGAGTCGTGACTCAACTGTGACTCAACTGTGCTTTCTTCTTCTTCTTCTTTTTTCTTCTTTCCCTTTCTCTTTTTCTTTTTGAGTATTTGCAGTCTGTGTTTTCTGTGTTTTTCTCTCTTTCGTG